CCTGTCACTCCAGAACCTCAACTGGATTCACTCATCTCTCCCCAACTGAATAGTTTCATCAGGGCTTGGTCTTAAATGAACTGCTCCTCCTCCTCCTCTTTACTGCACTGGATCAATGCAGTACACAGAGCCCCATGATATAAAACAGAAGCCAGTGGTATCTTACAAAGCCAAGTCCTCTCAAGGCCTAATTCTGGTCACAGTAGATTCTTGCCCAGTATGAGGATATAATTTTCACAGCAAAGTAAAGGGAGAGCCTTTTGCTTCCTTAGCTGATTAAAATTACAGTCTGTTCAATTATCTGGGGCAAAGGAGAAAATATCTAGAAAAAAATACACACATTTGGCAATGAGAATACAACAGACCATTTGGTCTCCACAGAATTACCTTCTGAATTATATTTTACTTGGGCTAATATAAAAATTACTTTGCAGTCTTGAGCTTGCATGCTAAGAAATCAGGAGGCAGAATTCCCAAGGTATACTGCATTGTGAGTCAGTCTAGAATTTTAAATTGCCTTAGATGATCCAAAAGATGGATAATAGAGTAAAGGAAATGCAGAAGTGTTCTTCTTACAAAATATAAAAAAAGATTGATAGGTTCTATATTCCCTCAAACCAAAATTTCTAAAAGCCATGTTATGTTCCTAGGTGAAATCCAATACTACTCAGGCCCATGGAACTAACTAGGGATTTATGTAGCTTGAAGCATCATTGTCATGAATGTATGGGCAGAAAAACTATATATAATCTGGCATATTGAACATATGGATATTACCTTCCAAATACAGAGCACAGTGCCCTATAAAGATCAAGTTATTTTTAAAGTATACAGAGGTTACAGTTTAGTCAGTGAACACTAAATACTGAGTCAACTGATTTATCATCAGTGTCTAGCTATGATTTACTATACAACCTCAGACAAGATCATCTCTGGATGTAGAAGACGTTATGTAGAAAAATGAACTTTACAACTTTGGCATGGGGGGGTGGGCATGGAGGAGATGGAAAGGGATGGTAAGGTGGAAGGGATGGTAAGGGGAAACAAAGGAGGAGGCAACAATGTTTGATCAGAAATGTACTCATTACCTTGCTCATGTAATTGTAACCCCTCTGTATGGTATTTTCACAATAAAAAAAGATCATTTCTGGGCTTCCACTATGTACCAAACATTGTATACACACACATACACACACACACACACACACACACACACACACACAAATATATCTAAAATCAAAATCAATATTTTTTCTGCAACTATGTGGTGTACTTCCTGGTCAAGAAATTGGGGCAAATGGGATAGTTTTTAAACCAAATGTATTCACCTTTCCTCTTAGGTATAAAAATAAACTAACTTAGAAGTGGTGCTGTGGCTCAAGTGGTAGAGAGCTTGCCTTGAGCTGAAGAGCTGAGGGACAGCACCCAGGTTCAAGCCCCACGACTGACAAAAAACAAACAAACAACAAAAATAAACCAACTTCCCAGCTTTCATGTAATACCTTCTGATAGATAGAATGTGAACAGAAGAGAGTATACTATTGCCAGGCCTGGATATGAATTAATGTGTAAAATCTCCCTTTTGGTTCACAACATTCTTTCTCATTTCCTTCTTTTCCAGATACAGAGGACTCTGTGATCCCAGGAGTGAGGAGTCACAAGATAGAGAAGGATATGTAGCTACTTGCCCAAGCACTCACCTAGAACTAGACTGTGAACAAGAAAGAGGCCTCCATGGTCTGAAGGGACTTAGACATGAAGTTTCCCCAACCAACATATGAAACCAAACTGCCTCCAAAACATGTGACAGACAGTACACATGGGATGGCATGGAAATATCAAAAGGTGTTTGGCTCACATCTACCAGTTGGGCTGCAAATGGATAGCACAAAGTACTCCCCAGATATATAGAAAATACAGAAGAGGTGAAAGGAAGAGTTCAGTTTTTAAAAGCAAGAACTGAAATGGCAGTAGAGTATCCAAGGAAGAATCAATAAGCAGTTGGATATATGGACCTAGAGCTAGCTCACAGACACAGTGTACATGGAAAAGGGAGATTTAGTGGGGGAAGCCACAGATATGCCTGGAGTTCTCAGGCAAAACATGCGGAGTCAGAAGCCAGAGAAACCCCAAAAGGAGAGATAAAGAAAAAGGAGGAAGGTCTATAGGGAGGGAAGAAAGAAGGGAGAGGGAGGGAGAAAGGGAAAAGAAGGGAAGGAGGAGAGCACAAATATGAAAAAGTCAGAGGAGCCAAAGAGAAGCAATCGATAGTGACAAGCAATTCAAAGACATGATATAAGATAATGTTCTGAAAGCCCACTGTATCTGACAGCTAGGCAGCTGTTTGTGACCTTAACAAGTTTATGTTCAGGACTGGCAAAAGCCACATTAATCTGCATTGATATCTGAGGATAGCAGTTCAAAGCCAACCCAGGCAAGAAAATCCACGAGACTCTTATCTCCAATTAACCAACCACCCAAAAACTGGAAGTGGCATTGTGGCTCAAAGTGGTAAAGCACTAGCCTTGAGCAGAAGAACACAGGAACAGTTCAAGCCCCATGACCAACCAAAAAAAAAAAAAAAAACAGTCCACAGATGGGGACATGGCTCAAGTGCAGAGTGCCTGCCTAGCAAATCAAGGCCTTGAGTTCAAAATGCAGCATGGAAAAAAAATCTGTAAAGTGAATGATGGAAATGAAGGATGTGGAATCAGAGGGTATAATATAGAAATATACTTAAGGAAATGATTCTAATGGTTTTAGAATCATTTCCTTAAGTATAAGTAAGTAGTTAGGGAACAAAGAGACAGAGGTTTACTTTTTCATTTCTCAGGATGCAAGTCTTTTAAACTTGTGTGGGTATCTGACTTGCTAAAGTTTACTTTCCCTACCTGTAAAATGGGTCTAATCCTGACCCTTCCAGTTGCTGTCACAACAAATAAAATGGTCTGTGTGAACGTGCCTATGGTACTGGGAGAAGCCAATGTCATTTTACATCCATAAATGTTGTTGAGAGTGGCGTTATAAAGTTAACAGTCCAGTGAAATACAATTAGTCGTAAAATTGGTTTTTAAAAAAAGTACCATCAGTCTAGATCCAGAAATATAAAGAATGCATTCTTTCTACACACTACCAGTTGCTGACTTCAAACCTTAGAGGCTAAGAGTATGCTGAAGTCCAATGTTAGACAATTCCTACTCTTAGGCTGCAGCCTGGGTTTCTACATGTTTTTGTCATGCCAGAAAAACGAAACAAAACACAAAAAAGGCCAATGAACCCTGGCAGATCAGCGTGCATTAAATCATCTGGAAATGTATTAGCATTATGAATAGTAGTTCTTAAATAAAGATTTCTGGAAACTTCCTACTTTCACAAAGCAACAGACGAATTCCATAATTTAAGCCTCATGACCAGTGAAATCATAGCAAAAGGCCACAGCAGCTTGCTGAATATTTTATTCCAAGGGGGTGGCTGAGGTATTCTGGGAAATAAGCTAGCCATTTGAGAATTTCTCTCCTGGGAAGATTAACCATCTAGAAGGATATGATCCAAACATTATTTCACTAGTCACAAAACTATTAAATCCTTTACAAAGAACATTATTTTTAGCACTATGATACCAGTGTAACTAAATTTTTCTCTCATAAAACTCCTAACAAGTGGTTCTAACGTGGCCTACCTTCCTCCCTGGGAAGACATTTAATCCTATCTTTGGCATTGCTATCTGCTCTTTTCTGACTGGATTTCCTAGTTGTTCATCTTACATCTCTTCCTCAGTGACTTTATTTGGAGGGGGGGGTAGTGTAGAGCTCTAATTAAGCTTACACAGCTGTGTCTGCGGCTCCAAACAGCAATTGTGAAACACAAAATTTCCTTTATAGTCAATCTAAACCTCTAGTCCCCAGAGCCAAGTAAACCATATCTACCATCATTTATTCATGGTTCTGAAAATCTCAAACTGTTTTTAAAGATAGTATTTCTTTGAACTATGCTTTCTCAAATATTTCATCATTAATGTGCAACACTTCCTAGCTAGCTAGTAAACTAGACAAAATATCTATACATCAATTTTAGAATGTTTATCCACAACAACACTGAATTTCTTGGCGTGGCACAGTAGTTTGTACCTCCTGTCTCAGCTACTGGGGAGACTGAGGCTGAAAAAATCACTAAGGAGTTCAAGGCTAACCTGGGCAATGTAGTAAAACTCCATTTCAAGGGGAGGAAATCATGAGTAAGCCTTCCTAGGACATGAAAAAATGAGGGTGACACTGATCAAAATATTGCACATGTAAATTGACATGCTGAATTGAAACCCTTCTTATATCTATTAAAAGAAACTAAAAAAAGTTAAACTCCAAAAAATGAAAACAAGAAAATAAGTCAAACATTTTGGCACTGCTTTACAAGGATTGTAAAGAAAAACAATGTCCTATTGCTATCCTCAGGTATCACCACCCAGCATTTATGCCAAGCTGTAAACCTGGACAGATAACCAAACAATCTTTTATAAGTTTTACTTCATTTAATATTAAAAGAGCTTTCTTCAGTTATTATACTTTATCATCACTTGTTAATACAGGAGAATTATTAGGCCCAGAGACGTTTAAGAGACATTTAAGTTGTTCAGGAAAAGACCCAGTCTATATTAAAGATTCTCTAGTTTCCCAATTCTTCCATGAAACCAAGGATGCCCCCCTCCCTCATGTTTCCCACTCTCTTTTTCACTACTCAAGCCCAGCTTCCTCTGAAGTCATTAGGAGCTTCTGATGAAACACAGACATGAGCTCAGTTCGCCCTCCAATGAAAATACACAATAATTGGTTATCGAAGGAATGTTATGGGATCATTGTGACTTTGGAAAGCCTTTTGGAGGAATGCATAAATGATGCTTGGAATCCTGAACTGGCCAAAGAAGATATCACAAACACACGACCAGATGTGGAATTGGAGGACATTCCATGAATGATCTGTATTTCCAACAAACAGGGTAAACCAACCTGTAGACGGAGAAGGAAGCCACGGATCGAATGAGGGAGGCCAAAGCCCCCACCTTGGCAGCTTCCACCGCCCCGTGGGTTCGGTATTGCACTGTTATGGCATAGCTGACGAAAGGTTGGTTAAAAACAACAATCTTCCCCTTTGCTTCTGGGGACCTTCTCTGAAGCTCATCAAAAGAAGTCACCACCAAAACTTCTGCTGTAATACCTGGAAAAAAAAAAGTCAACAAAAATTAACAAAGTTTCCCAGCAGTGGGGGGTGGGGGGGATGAAGAGGGGGATTGACACACAAAAGGTCACACATACTTGTGGGCTCCTTCTGACCCCAGGAGAAAAATCGTGGGGTTAGCCAGTTTTCCAAGAGGGAGAAATGCATTCAAAAAGATATAATATATCACTCAAGATTTTCAGCGCAGATGGTCAGCTGGTATGAAATCACAAACTGCCTCAAGATAAAGCTTTTACTCCCTCTCCCCTCTTTCCTACCCTTGGAAATCATGCATTTCACAAAATGACACTGATAATTTATTTTTAAAATTGCATTTGAGAAAACCCCTCTTGGGATTTACAAAACACATTTATCTTTTTAATAACACAAGTTTGATAGGATGCTAAACAACCTTCAATCACATCAAAGATGGCAACTTGGAAAGAATACTCCTAGAATTCAATGTTCTTCATAAACTCAACATTTAACAAATGTTTAATGCACCTTCTCCTACGGGCCACAAAAGGTCAGCTTCTTGCTTCCCTTCTCTGTATAAAAACCCTCCTAAAGGATATGGAAATGCCCGATGTTCTCCACTTACAGTACTTGCTCATCACCAGACACATAACCACTCTTTGAATAAAAATTTTGATTTTTTTTCCAAAAAATTTTTTATCCAAATCTTTTTTTTTCTTTTCTTTTTGCTTATGTGGTGCTGAGGAATCGAACCCAGGGCCTCATGCATGCAAGGCAAGCACTCTACCCCTGAGCCACCTTCCCAGCCCCTATTATCCAAATCTTTCTATTTCCTTACAAATGGGGCAGTGTCATTCTTTCTGATGGAAGCATAGAATTCCAGTGTGTGTGTGTGTGTGTGTGTGTGTGTGTGTGCAGGCATGCACGCCCACGCCTAGGATATTCCCAGTAGATGAGCAGAATAGCTCACTAGCTATGTACATAAGACCATATAAGATGATGCTAAGCAAAATGAAATCCAAGGCATGGACATAAGAAGTTTTATTTGGGAAGTGGTGCTGTAGCTCAAGTGGTAGAGCGCTCGCCTTGAGCTGAAGAGCTGAGGGACAGCGCCCAGGCCCAGAGTTCAAGCCCCACGACCGACAAAAAAAAAAAAACAAGAAGTTTTATTTGTTGTTGTTGTTTTTAATGTACTATGTGATTTGTTTCTTTTATGTGTTTTTCCCACTATGGTTTATCCCCTGTTGTCACTGTATTTGGTTTTGGTACCCTGGGTATGGTATATACGTTTATCTCAATTAGGAAAAGGAAGAGCAATGTCAAAATGATGAGACAAAGGACAAAGGGGGAACCAACACAACAGCAATACTCAAGACAATATGTTGGAAACGATCTGTACAACTAGGGGGGAGGGGACAAGGGAGAGGAAAAATGGGAGAAAAATGAGGGAGGGAATAACAAGTTTGACAAGAAACATACTCACTACCTTACTTATGTAATTGTAACCCCTCTGTACATCACCTTGACAATAAAATTTTTAAAAATTGGAATGTGTGTGTCCTAGAACCTTGGGTCTTCCCACTTTCCTCATATCCCTTGCCTATAGCTTCCTGACTATGGAAGAGAGTTTCATATCTCCCTAGAGTCACTCAAGACTTTCCAAACCACAGAAGATCCCACTTAAAAGAGCAGCCAGAGTGATAAATAAAAAATCCTTACTAACAAAGGCTAATATAATGTAATGCTAATTTGAACTTTTTAGAAAGAAGTGGTAGATGCCTACCACTTTGTGAATTTTAGCAGTGTACTCTTGAAATATGTCAGTAAAATCAGAACCATCAACCTATATTTATCATACTTTCTTAATATTATGAATAGATTAGAAAATTAGGGAGTTTTGGGTGGGGGGGCTTTTCTGGAAAGCTGAAATGTTAACTGTTCATTGTAGAATGCTTTTTGAAAATACATTTTTATTGTGAAAATACTGTACAGAGGGGTTACAGTTACATGAGCAAGGTAATGAGTGCATTTCTTATCAAGCATTGTTGCCTCTTCCTTTGTTTTCCCTCTACCATCCCTCCCACCTCCACAACTATACTCCCACCCCCTTTCTCCCTCCCCTTTCTCCCCACCTCCCTCCTCTCTGCCCGCTTAAATTGTAAAGTTCATTTTTCGACATAGTGTCTTGTACATCTCATTGTTACAATGGGTCCCTATTTAAACATTTTGTTTTTTCCCTTCCCCTCCCCAAACTAAACCGACATCAAATACATACAAAAGGACAAAAAAAATCACATGGTACCTTAAAAATACATTAGAAACAATAGCAAGAAAGAAAAAACCACTTGTGTCCCTATCTTGGGGTTCATTTCACTTAACTTCATCTTATCTGGTCATATGGACATAGCTTTTGACCTTTTCTACTTGTCCCAGACTTATATTAGTTATTGAAAATAAAAGAAACCATGGGGACTTATGTTTCTTTGGGCCTGTCTTACTTCACTTAATAAAAATATAATTTATACTAAAATATAAATTCTAGAGAATTGTTGTATTCAGTATAAGCCTCCTCATTGTGGACCATTTGAAGTGATTCCTCTCCTACTTCGGTTTTATCTTCAAGCTTGCTTTTGTACTTTTACTTTAAAATAATTAGCTAGAGATCTATATGCATGTCTCCACCAATACTCAGAACTTCGTTTATAAACTAAAAAGCAGCAGTGTAAAGAAAGTAAGGGAATCACCAGCTTTTTCACATGATAAATATGCATAAAAGTACTCATAAGGATTCAGCTAGACAGATTTTGAGGTTTATAACTTTGGGAAACCTTGAGTTACCTTGAAATCTGCCTGGCGTTATTGTTGGCATAGCACAGGAATTTTGCTGATGGTTTTCAGCTGTTCCTAATGAATAACAGGTTCAATGGTCCACCCATGGGATGTCCCAGCAATGGGGTAATTTTGGTGTCTGGATGAGAGCCACTAGGAATGAAGCCAAATTTCTATAAATTTTTGAAATTAAAATCATACAAGGGTGGTACTTTTCTATGGTCTAGTCTTCAAATTCTTTTAACAAATAAAAGAGTAGAGTCCTCAAGAGCCAAAACCTAACCCAGACAGCACAGGTGCCAACACAACTCACTAGTCACAGTTATAACTCACTAGTCACAGTTATAGGTCAAGGCCCATCACCATGTACTTGGGAGAATTTGAATTAATCTGTTTTCCTGAAAGCTGGGCATCATCTCTACTTCCTCGGTCTCCTCCATCCTCTATATTCAATTAACAGTGCATATTTCCAAAGACTTTGCTTATTTCTAGATCATACTAATTGATAATATTAAGAACCATACTTAACTGTCTTGTTGTTTTCACAAATGCTCACAGTAGCTCAACAAAGTAGTTTATGAGGACAATGAGGTAGCAACAATTGTGTTTACACAAATACTAGGTATTGGAGCTGAGATCTGAATTTGATCCTTGTCTGAATCCAGAGGGTCTTGCTTTTCCAATTGTCTACACTGTTATCTTCTCTCATAAATGAAAAGCTCAGTATATATTCCTCAGAATATACTGAGGAATGAAAGGAGGAAAGAAATGGCTATATAAAGGTCTGCCTTGGTTGCTATCTGTTATTTTCTAGGATACTGCTGATCAGAGTGGCCAGGAAAGGCAGCTCATGCCTGTAATCTCAATTATAAAGAAGCACATGAGTAAGAGAATGGAGTTCATTTGAGTTTCAATAGGCAAAAATGCAAGATTCCACCCCCCAAAATATAAATAATTAAAGCAAAAGAATAGGTCAAGAATAGGAATCTTGCCTAGCAAGTGAGAGTCTCTAAGTTCAAAACCCAGTACTACCAAAAAGCCGGAGTGTGGTTATTACTCTAGGCTTCGGCCCATTAATAATAGAGTTGGAGGGCAAACTTCACTGAAAGACAAGATTCATTAGATTCTGTATGATGAAAAGGATTATAGTGGTTAATCTCTGAGGAGACCATAGGAATGAAGCTAGAAAGATACTCATAGAATGATACACTTAGCTACAACCTATTTGCACAAAGTGCAAAAAATCCCGGGTTCCTTTTTATCCTGCACATCTCATTTTTTGAACTTATTGATTCCTTTTTAAGCCAAGTACTGTGTGGTTATTGCTAGCATCTCCCTGCAGAGCAACTGCTGCTGACCACTGTGGCGTTGGTTTGGGTCACTTATTCTATGAGACTTCGACAGAGAGCCACTCTCCAATTTCTCCCACTCCATTCTTTCAAGGACAAGTAAGAATTTGTTACAAATCAGATTTTTTTTGTGACGTTTCTTTCCATTTAAAGCAAGACTGCACACAAAAATGTGTCTCTAGAGGCTCAATTTAATGTGGTTGGTATGTTTTAGGAAATAGATTATAATTTCAGAAGGCTGAACTCTGAACAGAAAATAGTCTAGCCCTAGTCAAAAAGAAAGCTTTGCTTCTTTATCAAATAATCTCCCATTGGGTGTGTTGCCCAAGATAACTCCATCTCTGGTATGGCTGCCAGTTCCTGAGCTCAGAGTTAGGGGAAAGGAAAACACAGTTGTTCTTGGAAATTCAGTGTTGGGGCCCAGAAGAAGGAATGAAGTTAAAACTTCACTCAAAGCAGATAAAAGGACATCATAGCTGTCAGTCCTTGCTGAGGTCCATTTATTTACAGAGAGTTTGGTGATCTTGCAACAGCCTTCTCATGAAGAAAGAGCCCTAAAATCTCCTGTTATTTTCATAAGTTTGTTCCTACTAGGTCAAGACTTTATGCTCAGCATTGGGAATAATAGGAACATGAGCACATTCTAGCTTCATCCTTAAGAACTGCATAATCATACAATAAACAATAAGTTTCAAAAGAACACAAAATGGGGCCAGGAACTGGTGGCTCATGCCTACAATCCTAGTTACTCAGGAGGCTAAGATCTGAAGAACACTGTTTGAAGCCAGCCTGAGCAGGAAAGCCTCTTATCTCCAATTAACCACAAAAGAGCCAAAAGCGGAGTTG